GACGGAGTAGAGGATAAGTGAGGGACTTGTCAAGAGACAGCAAAAGTTAAAAAAAAAAATAAAGATAGCAGAAGCAAAAAAGCAACTGGAGGCCGGTCGCGGTGGCTCATGCCTGTTATTCAAGCACTTTGGAGGCCAAGGCGGGCGGATCGCCTGAGGTCGGGAGTTCAAGACCAGCCTGACCAACATGGTGAAACCCCGTCTTTAAAAAAAAATTTTTTTTTAAGCAACTGGAGAAATGTAGAGAAAAGCTAGATGTACAGAGAGATGAAGGACCGCAAGGTAGGGATGGGGCAGCAAAGAGGGAGGCTCAGGAGAGTGAGGGAGAGGAGGAGGGATTTGGAGCTGGGGCAGAGCAGAGCAGAGTGGTGCTGGTGGCAAGGAGAATGTAAGGTCTTTTAGGCTGACCGACGGTCCCCTGGATGCCATGTTAACCTCTGTGACCTGTATGGACACTCCAGATGAGTTCTTGGAAAATCTGTATTAACTGGAAGGCCATGAAAAGGGGAAGAAATGATCAACTCCTGTGGTGCCTACTTTGAGACATTCTGTTTTTCTTTATTCCCACCCCAATTGATAAGGAATTGGACTTTGTAACTGACCTTGATCAGCCTCCTGACTCCAGACCTAAGACCCCCTCCCAGCTTGCAAAAAAACAGCCTAATCTGTAACTTCTGTAACTCTCCACTGCTTACCCCAAACCTGTAAAACCAAGTCCTATCCCACCACCCTCTGCTGACTCTCTTCACACAGCCTGCCCACACCTGGGTGAATAAGCATGTGTGAGCCATGTTGCTCACACAAAGCCTGTTTGGAGGGTGTGTACATTCAGAGCATGAGTTTTAATGGGGAACAAAGAGAGCCTGGGGATCTGGGGTGCCAGAGAGTGGGGACAGGGTGGTGTAACAGGGAAGAGAATTTAACTGGGGGAGCAGAGATGGGAGAAGAGGTGGAAATACATGGAGATTGAGGAGGTTTGCAAGATTGGGGAGAAGAAACAATGAGAGGTTAAATAAATGAAAATGGAGCAGAAGAGGTGGAATAGAAGGAAAGAGAAGGAGTATAGGGATGAAGGGGATAAACAGCAGGAGAGGAGAGGGGTAGAAAATGAGCAGAATCCCAGGGAAAAAGAAGAAAAGAGCTAGAGAGAGAAGGGGAGAATGAGAGAGATGTACAGAATTAGGGAGGGAAGCACAGTAAGGAAGAAAGAGGGGCTGGGCGCAGTGGCTCCCGCCTGTAATCCCCGCACTTCAGGAGACTGAGGCAAGGGGATGCTTCAGTCCAGGAGTTTGAGACCAGCCTGGGCAACATAGTGGGACAATTATCTCTGCCAAAAAAAATTCACTGGGAGCGATGGTGCACAGCTGTAATCCCAGCCACTCTGGAGACAGAGGCAGAGGATCACTTGAGCCCAGGAAGTCCATATGCTGCAGTGAGCAGAGATCATTCTACTGCACTCAGCGTGGTCAACAGAGCAAGACTCTGTCTCAAAAGATAGAAAAGGCAGGGTGCTTTGGGTTCAGTGTGTGAGTTCACTGGGTGTGATTAGTTGTAATATGTTGACTCCTGTGTCTATAATCTAATAACTTAAAACTTATTTAAATTATACAGATGAGATTGAGAATTATAAAATTCCTATCTGTAAGACATGCATATTCTATGAATCTTGGCATCAGAGGCTAGCTTCCACTTGGAATCCGTATTCAGCCAGAGGACAGTGACTTATTCAGTTGTGAATCACTCTCTTTTCTTTTCCCAGAGTTGGGTAGGAAGTAGGGCAGTGAAATGGGAAAAAAAATTACTTTCTGTGGCTGGGCACGGTGGCTCATGCCTGTAATCCCAACACTTTGGGAGGCCGAGGCAGGTGGATCACGAGGTCAAGAGATCAAGACCATCCTGGTCAACATGGTGAAAACCTGTCTCTACTAAAAATACAAAAAATTAGCTGGGCGTGGTGGCGCATGCCTGTAATCCCAGCTACTCAGGAAGCTGAGGCAGGAGAATTGCCTGAACCCATGAGGCGGAGGTTGTGGTGAGCCGAGATGGTGCCATTGCACTCCAGCCTGGGTAACAAGAGCGAAACTCCATCTGAAAAAAAAAAAATTACTTTGTTATTACATAACAATTTTAATTAGTTAATATCCTGAGACAGGGTCTGGCTTTGTCACCCAGGGTGGAGTGCAGTGGCATGGTCTCTAACTGAAGCCTCGACCTCCTGGGTTTAACTGATCCTCACACCTCAGCTTCCTGAGTAGCTGGAACCACAGGCGTGAACCATCAAGTCTGACTAGTTTTTTTTTGTTTTTGTTTTTGTTTTTGTTTTTTGTAGAAATGGGGTTTTACTACGTTGTTAGGCTGGTCTCAAAATCCTGGGCCCAAATGATCCTCCTGCCTTGGCCTCCCATGGCACTGGGATGATAGGAATGAGCCACTGTGCTTCACCTACAGAGTACCTTTTAAAAATTATTACTGGCCGGGCGCGGTGGCTCACGCCTATAATCCCAGCCCTTTGGGAGGCCAAGGCGGGTGGATCACGAGGTCAAGAGATCGAGGCCATCCTGGTCAACAAGGTGAAACCCCATCTCTACTAAAAATACAAAAATTAGCTGGGCATGGTGGTGCGTGTCTGTAGTCCCAGCTACTTGGGAGGCTGAGACAGGAGAATCGCTTGAACCCAGGAAGCGGAGGTTGCGGTGAGCCGAAATCGTGCTATTGCACTCCAGTCTGGGTAACAACAGCGAAACTCCGTCTCAGAAAAAAATATATATTATTATTCAGGAGGCTAAGGCAGGAGAATTACCTGAACCCAGGAGGCAGAGGTTGTGGTTAGCCGAGATCGCGCCATTGCACTCCAGCCTGGGTAACAAGAGTGAAACTCCGTCTCAAAAAAATATATATATATTATTATTATTATTATTATTATTTATAGAGCTAGGGTTTCACTGTTTGGACTAGGTTGGTCTTGAACTCCTGATCTCAGGCAATCCACCCACATCAGCCTCCCAAAGTGCTAGGATTACAGACTTGAGCCACCTCACCTGGCCTTTTTTTTGTTTTTTGTTTTTTTTTCTTTTTTGAGACATAGTTTCACTCTTATTTTCCAGACTGGAGTGCAATGGGGTGATCTTGACTCACCAAAACCTCTGCCTCCTGGGTTCAAGAAATTCTCTTGCCTCAGCCTCTTGAGTACCTGGAATTATAGGCATGTGCCATCACACTCCACTAATGTTGTATTTTTATTAGAGAAGGGGTTTCTCCATGTTATCAGGCTGGTCTCAAACTCTGGACCTCTGGTGATCTGCCTGCCTCTGCCTCCCAAAGTGTTGAGATTACAGGCACGAGCCACTGTACCTGGCCTTAACTTTATTTGATTTTTTTTTTTTTTTTTTTACAATTCTTGATTTGTTCTCCACATTGTCTGTAGATTTTTTTAAAAAGTGGTAACAGGAACACTGGTAACCACAATGTACAGCTTATTTGGTGAGCCAGGCACGGTGGCCCACCCTGTAATCCCAGCACTTTGGGAGATGGAGGTGGGCAGATCACAAGGTCAGGAAATTGAGACCGGCCTTGCCAATATGATGAAACCTTGTCTCTACTAAAAATACAAAAAAAAAAAAAAAAAAATTAGCTGAACATGGTGACATACACCTGTAATCCCAGCTACTCAGGAGGCTGAGGCAGGAGAATTGATTGAACCTGGGAGGCAGAGGTTGCGGTGAGCTGAGATCCTGCCACTGGACTCCAGCTTGAATGACAGAGCAAGACTCCATCTCATTTAAAAAAGAAAAAAAAAAAAAAGGAGAGTTTATTGGGTGAATCTTTATCCTCATTACATTTTCTGGCCAACCGCACACAAATATGGTATGGAGATTCCTTATTCCTTTGGCTAGACAGCTTTGCTGAGCCTAATATCAATGCATAGACCTGGAGTTTCCATCTTTTTCATGCCAAATTTCTGAATCTCTTTGAGCGCCTGACCTCCTTCCTCATTCTGAGCCCTGCTTCTCCCCAGTTCCAACCCCTGGAGAATGTGCTCTTTCTGGAGGCAATCTTGTTATCCCATTTTCTCCTTCTTGATACTGGAAGGCAGGACTAAAATGTGAGATGTCCAGGTTTTTGTAATCCCAGCACTTTGGGAGGCCAAGGCTGGTGGATAACCTGAGGTAAGGAGTTTGAGACCATCCTGGCCAACATGGTTAAACCTGGCCTCTACTAAAAATACAAAAATTAGCTGGATATGATGGCACATGCCTGTAATCCCAGCTTCTCAGGAGGCTGAGGCATGAGAATTGCTTGAACCTGGGAGGTGGAGGTTGCAGTGAGCTGAGATCGTGCCACTGTACTTTCCCCTGGGTGATAGAGGGAGACTCTGCCTCAGCCACACACACGCACACACACACGCACACACACACGCACGCACACACACAGTAAAAAAAGAACAAAGTGGCGAAAGTAGGGATTTACTGAAGCAGGAGAGCACCCCACAAGGTGGGAGTAGGCTCCAGGGCGAGCATCTCCAGGGCCCCATTTACAAAGTTTTGTGGGTTTAAATTATTCCCTTTTTGTTTGTTTGTTTCCTTGTTTGTTTTTGAGATGGAGTCTCACTCTGTCACCCAGGCTGGACTGCAATGGCATGGTCTTGGCTCACTGCAGCCTCCATCTCTCAAGTTCAAGTGGTACTCCTGCCTCAGCCTTCCAAATAGCTAGTACTACAGGTGCCACCACCACGCCCGGCTAATTTTTGTATTTATAGTAGAGACAGGGTTTCACTATGTTGGCCAGACTGGTCTCCAACTCCTTCCCTCGTGACCCGCCCATTCAGCCTCCTTTCTTTCTTGCTTTCTTTGCTTTCTTGTCTCACTCTTGTCACCCAGGCTGGAGTGCAGTGGTGCAATCTTGGCTCACTGCAATCTCTGCCCCGTGGGCTCAGGTGATTCTCCCACCTCAGCCTTTTAAGTAGCTGTTACTGGAAGGCAGGACTGAAATGTGAGTTGTCAGTGCTCGCTTCGGCAGCACATATACTAAAATTGGAATGATACAGAGAAGATGAGCATGGCCCCTGCACAAGGATGACAATATTTTTAAAATAAATAAAAATAAATGTGAGATGTCCAGGTTTTTGGCTGTTGAACATAGAATTGAATAAGAAAAAGAAAAAGGACCACAGACACAGATGTGCACCAGGCCTGGCTACGTTTTTGTGTTGTTGGTGGAGACAGGGTTTTGTTATGATGCCCAGGCTGGTCTCGAACTCCTGTGATCCACGGGCCTTGGCCTTGGCTCAAGTGATCTACGGGCCTTGGCCTCCCACAGCGCTGGGATGACAGGCATGGGTCAGTGCACCCAGCCTCTGCCTGGGCTTTGGTGCGGGCTGGGTCTGTGCCCTGAAGGGGAGCTCATTCCAGCCCAGCTTCCCACTTCTGCAGTGTGAGGGTTGGGCTTCTCCAGGAGGTGAGTAGGTTCTGAAGAAAGGATTCAAAAATTCACTTAGTTTTCTTGTAGGAGTTTATCAGCCCTGGTGCAGTGGGCAGACAAGGGGACTATATTTCCTCAGGGTGAGGTCTCCTTAATATGTGTCCTTGTGTTACAGGAAGGGGGTATGTTGATTCTGAGCAACAAACATATTTATAACATTCAGGATTGTTTTTTTTTTTTTTTTTTTTTTTTTTAGGAGACAGGGTTTCACCATGGTCTCGATCTCTTGACCTCATGATTCACCCACCCTGGCCTCCCAAAGTGCTGGGATTACAGGTGTGAGCCACCGCACCCAGCCTCAGGATTGACTTCTAAAGACTCTTGATACAGAAGAAACCCGGAAGAGGAAGAGGAAAGCAAAGGAGTCAGGGATGACTCTTCCTCAGGTGAGATGATCTCGGTGGATTGTTCTGTCTCCTTCCTTTCAGGTGGGCCTTGGAGTTGGGAATCTTCTCTGAGTCTGAAGCGTCCTGCCTGACAGGTTTGCTGGCACTGACCCATGGCTTCCCTCAGTCCCTCTCATGTCAACTAGATTCTATCTCTGGTGACCCAGTGACAGGAGCATGGGAAGAGGCTGCACTGGGCATGGTCCTGGGAAGGGCTCACCCCAGACATGGATGGAGACAGGGTGTGGGCTCCGTGGTGTCAGGGCTGCTGGGCAGCAGGGATTGTTCAGGGGCCACATCTGATGCACCATCAGCTCTCTGTAGACCAGGAGCAGAGCAGCTGCCCATGGACACTACATATTAATGTGCACAAAGTACGTGGGAAATTCTAGGAAAGGAGATCAATGAGGGGAAGTCTTTTCTGCCTGATTTAGTGCTACATGTTGAGGTAATTGAGTGAGTTTCTGTGTTTATGATTCCAAAAATCTTACTGATTAGAAATGGGAAGTTCATACACAGACATGAATGATACAAGGTGTTTTATTCCATTAGTTTAACTATGTGAAACCAACCTAAATAATAGCAGGAGATTCATTAAAACATTTTTTTTTTAGATAAGGTTTCACCACCTTAGCCAGGATGGTCTTGAACTCCTGACCTCGTGATCCACCTGCCTCAGCCTCCGAAAGTGTTGGGATTACAGGTGTGAGCCACTGCGCCAGGCCTCATTAAACCATTCTTAGCACAATAAGCTGATGGAGACTATGGTGTTATGGTGGAGAGGCTTGTGAAACGGGTGTTTTCCATAACATTGGTTATATTTGTTTTCAAATATGGTAGCAGTATTTCATTTTTATTGTAAAATATTGAGCCTTTTTTTTCCCCCCAAGTGTTTGGGTTTATTGAGGGTCTTAAGGGCTACAAGGGAGCCCTGGTCATCTGGGGATGAGGCCTGGCATTTGCTGGCTAGTGAGTGGCCCAGTGAGCAGCCAAGGATGGGGTCTCCGCCACCCGGTTTACTTGAAAGTGTGGCTCTCAGCTTCACCCTGCCCACAGCCTTTAGGCCCAAATATGGCCGTGTAGCAGCGATGGTTGTAGCAGGGTTTGCTGTCGTGCTCAGCGTGGTCCCCGGAGGTCAGCGCCTTCCCACGTTTCTCACACTTCAGGCAGGGCTGATGCCAGTCCTTCGCCAGAGAGGTCACCCTCTCAGAGAAGTACACCTCCTTGTCACACTTGGAGCATGCAGGCATGGCAGCTCCGGGTCCAGTGTGGGCGTTAGCAGCCAGGGAGGGAAGGACGGCAGGCATGAGACTTGGAGCCATATTCTCATTCCACTTATTTTTTTTTTTTTTTTTTGAGACAGAGTCTCGCTCTGTCTCCCAGGCTGGAGTGCAGTGGCGTAATCTTGGCTCACTGCAATTTCTCTTGGGTTCAACCCCTCTTGGGTTCAAGCGATTCTCCTTCCTCAGCCTTCTGGGTAGCTGGGATTATAAGCATGTACCACAATACCCCTCTAATTATTTTTGTATTTTTAGCACAGACAGAGTTTCACCATGTTGGCCCAGCTGGTCTCAAACCCCTAACCAGCCTGGGGTCAGGCAAGGCTGATCTGCCCATCTCCACCTCCCAGATTGTTGGGATTACAGGCGTGAGCTATTGTGCCCAGCTCCCCCAATTATTATTTAATAAATGGTTTTGTATTTAAACACCACATGATGTACGTATTTGTTTTGTGGTAAAGCTCCAAGCAAAGCTGCAGCTTAGCCCCTTGGCCATAAAGCTCCTCCTTCCCCTGTCACGTCCTCCACCCTCCTTCCAGCCTCACCGGGGACCCACTACTGTCAGTTCTGTGTCAGGTGTCAGAGGAAGTGTCACACTTGTGTGCTTCTGTCCTGAGACTTTTAAAAAAAAAATTCTGCAGCAAATTAAAGAACATTAAAAAAATTTTTTTTTAATTTAGTTTTGATGCTGCATGTGAAGGTTTGTTACATGGGTAAACTCGTGTCATTGGGGTTTGCTGTATAGATTATTCCATCATTCTGGTATTAAGCCTGTTAAAACACGTGCTCTGAATGAAGAGACCCCCCTACACAGGCTTTCTGTGAGCAGCATGGCTGTTTATTCACCTGGGAGGGGGCAGGCTGAGTGTGAAGAGAGTCAGCCAAGAGCGGTGGGATAGGAGTTGGTTTTATAGGTTTGGGGTAAGCAGTGGAAAGTTACAGTTTAGGGTGATTTTTTCAGGTTGGGAGGGGTCTTAGGGTCTAGAGTTCTGAGGTTGACCCAGGTCAGTTTCAAAGACCAATTGCCTTATTTGAGGCAGAAATAAGGAACAATAGGGAGTGTCTCAAAGTTCAGTAGGCTCTGCAGGGGTTTATTATTTTTTCTCCCTTTTGTGGTTTTCCAGTTTCTTCAGACTTTCTGGTTCTGGGAGGCCATCCAGAGGTGCATGTGCGGGTCACGGGGGTTGCCATGGCTCAACTTAGGGTATGGCTATGATGCAGCCAGATAGCCTAAAAGACCTTACAAAGCTTAGTACCCCATATTTATTTTTTTATCTATTTATTTTTTTATCTATTTATCTTTTTGAGATGGAGTTTTGCTCTTCTTGCCCAGGCGTGACTATAATGGCATGATCTTGGCTCACTGCAACCTGCGCCTCCCGGGTTCAAGCGATTCTCCTGCCTCAGCCTCCCGAGTAGCTGGGATTACAGGTGGCTGCCACTGCGCCTGGCCAATTTTTGTATTTTTAGTAGTGATGGGATTTCACCACATTGGCCAGGCTGGTCTCATTCTCTTGACCTCGTGATCCACCCACCTTGACATCCCAAAGTGCTGAGGTTATGGGTGTGAGCCACCACCCTGCCCCACAATAATTATTTTCTCTGCTCCTCTCCTTCCTCCCACTCTCCACGCTCAAGGAAACCCCAGCGCCTGTTGTTTTCTTCTGTGTTCCAGTAAATATCTTACTTTGAAATTTGATCCTGCAAGTTGTGAAACTTCACAGGTTCTCATGTTAGTAGACACGGCTAGCTTGCTCTTTGATGTCTGCATTGGAAATTGGCTGAATGACAACATGTGGGTCCTCTGCAATTTTTCTCTGTATTAATAGTGCCACAGTGGCTGCCTCTGTGTGCGCCTGCGTGACAACAGATATCTGAAGATTCCTCTAGGTCTGGCAGTGGAAAGAGTGATTTCTTCGTCTAGCAGGGAGCATTTCCTGTTTCCTTAGATCTGACAAGATCCCCCCGTCCCCAGCTGCCAAAATATCCTTTTCCACCAAGGCAAGATTCCTCTTCAGTTAAACAAAGCTTGCTACTTTTTATATTGTTAAAACCTCTATGCATGTATATATAAACACACACATATACGCACACACATATATGCACACACATGCATATATACATACACGTGTATATTTTGAAAATCTTTTTTTTTTTGAGACGGAGTTTCGCTGTTGTTACCCAGCCTGGAGTGCAATGGTGTGATCTCAGCTCACCGAGACCTCCGCCTCCTGGGTTCAAGCAATTCTCCTGCCTCAGCCTCCTGAGTAACTGGAATTATAGGTGCGCACCACCATGCCCAGCTAATTTTTGTATTTTTAGTAGAGACGGGGTTTCACCTTGTTGACCAGGATGGTCTCGATCTCTTGACCTCGTGATCCACCCGCCTCGGCCTCCCAAAGTGCTGGGATTATAGGCGTGAGCCACCACACCTGGCCTGAAAATCTTTTAAGTTTGAAAACCTCGAGAAAATGACAACCCTTTGTATTAACATTTAGTTTCTAGTGAGTCTGTGTAGGTTTTAACATTTTGTGGACATACACACACAAAATGGGTGTTCATGCTTTGAGTAATTTTGTTTTCATGTATTTTATTTTATTTTCAGATGAGGTTTTGCTCTGTTGCCGAGGCTGAAGCACAGTGGTGCAGTCTGAGCTCACTGCAACCTCCACTCTCAGGATCAAGCCATCCTCCAGCCTCAGCCTCCTAAGTAGCTGGGACCACAGATGTATGCCACCATACCTGGCTAACTCTGTTTTTATTTTTATTTTGACATGAAGACTCTGTTTCCCAGGGTCTTCATCCAAGAATTGCAGTGGTGCAGTCTTGGATCACTGCAATGTCCATCTCCCAGGTTCAAGGCATTGTCATGCCTCAGCCTCCTGAATAGCTGAGATTACATGCATGTGTCACCGCACTTGGCCGAATTTTAGTTTTTGATCTTTCACTGTAAACATTGTCATCTCTGAAGCAGCACTCATACTCTGTCTCTTCTAAATACTGACTATCACTTGGTGTGTAAAAGTTTCTAACATTTCTATAATGGGAACGCTGCATTGATTTTTTTGTGTATTTCTTGTATTATCCACAACCATAAGAAAGGTATACTGAGAAAGTATAATGACCTCTTCAAAAAGTATAATAAACACAACTGGGGAGGTATAGTTTGGTGAAAAGTCCCTTTCTCCGTTTGTCAGAACATTCCCTACGATTAAATCCATGCTTTCACCTCTCTCCTTTTCTCATTCTCGGTAAAGATCAGAACTCCTCCCGTAACCATGTGGTTCAAATGTGTTTTCATTTCAGGGTCTATTGACATTCAGGGATGTGGCCATAGAATTCTCTCAGGAGGAGTGGAGATGCCTGGACCCTGCTCAGAAGACTTTACACAGGGACGTGATGTTGGAGAACTACAGGAACCTGGTCTCCCTGGGTGAGTCCAGCTTCCCCCGGAAGTGGGGACGTGCCCTTGCGTATGTTTGTATTTTCCCTTGTTGCCTCCTGGGAGCCACATCCTTGCTTGACTAAAATGGAAGCCGTATTGATTTCGAAATGAAAAGCTTTATGATGCAGCATCTGGAATTTAACTGTCCCCCACCCTTTTTTTTCCTTTTCTTTTTTTTAAGGTGGAGTCTCATTCTGTTGCTCAGGCTGAAGTGCAGTGGCATGATCTCGGCTCACCACAACATCCACCTCCAGGGTTCAAGCAATTCTTTTTCCTCAGCCTCCCACGTAGCTGTGACTACATGTGCCTGCCACCATGCCTGGCTAATTTTTTTATTTTTAGTAGAGACGGGGTTTCAACTTGTTGAGCAGGATAGTCTCGATCTCTTGTCCTCATGATCTACCAGCCTCGGCCTCCCAAAGTGCTAGGATTATAGGCGTTAGCGCTGCGCCCAGCTAGAACCTACACTTTTAAATAGTGTGTGGGGAAACTCTGCAAGTGGGAGAATTCTGTGAGGAAAGAAAAGTTTAAATCCAGGGATCTCTGAATGGACATCTTTCTTTGCTCCCACTTATTTCTCTGCTCTGTATTGATTTAATGAGCTTTTCATAAAAGCACTAGTCCTATCCCGAGTAGTCAACACCCATGACCAAGTTCTCTCAGAGGCCCCACCTACAGGGACATCCTGTTGGAGAATAAGAACTCTCAACATGGCTTTCGGCCAATACGAACATTCAGACCAGGCAGCCTGCATTAGGATTTTTATGTTTTTATTGTGCATTTGGTTTGTTTTTGTTTTTTTTGTTTTTTTGAGGGAAGGAGGAAGGTAGGGAGGAAAGGAGGGATGAAGGAAGGAAGGAAGGGAGGAAGAGGGGAGGGACGGAGGGAGGGAGGGAGGGAAGGAAATCAAGCAATGAGAGAGACATTGCCGACCTGGATCTAGAGGTTTACAAGTTGATTTCTTTTTTTTTGAGAGAAGGAAAGAAAAAAAAAATGAGTAAAGGAGAGGAAGAAAGAGGAAGAGAAAGAGGGAGCGTGAACGGAAATATTGCTTAATTCTGAAAAAAATTGGGTATTAATAATGGCCAATCAGTGTTTCATTTAAACTAATGGGTAGGTGTGATGTGGTATTGACAAGAATGTGTATTTTGTGTATTTGAAGTGGAGAGCTCTATAAATATTTATTAAGTTTACTTGTTCCGGATCTGAGTTCGAGTCCTTGATATCCTTATTAATTTTCTGTCTCATTGAGTCTCAGTCTCTATGTATCTGGGTGTTGGGAGTGCATTTGGTTTTATGCAATGTTTTCTCTGATTTCAGTTTATAAATTTTCCAAGTACACATTCTATGTTTTATATTTTGTGCATAGTGAACTTGATAACTAAGTGCAATACTTATACATAGAATTGCTGTATTGCCTGGCTGTGACATACTGTAGATGTGACATCATAATTGCAAGCTCTGATGTTGTTAGGCAGTTTTTTTTTTTTTTTTTGAGGCTCAGTCTTGCCTTGTCACCCAAGCTGGAGTTCAGTGGTGTAATGTTGGCTCACAGCAACCTCCGCCTCCTGGGTTCAAACTGTTCTCCAGTCTCAGCCTCCTGAGTAGCAGGGACTACAGGCACGCACCACCATGCACAGCTAATTTTTATATTTTTAGTAGAGACGGGGTTTCACCATGTTGGCCAGGCTGGTCTTGAACCCCTGACATTGTGATCCACCTGTCTCAGCCTTTCAAAGTGCTAGGATTACAGGCGTGAGCCAGTGCGCCCGGCCTGTCAGACAATTCTTATTCCTTATCATGCTGTGTATTTTCTTGACCTCAGACATCAGAAGGTAGTGATCTTAACATGTATTTCAGTTCTTATATTGTGTGCTGGTGGCAGGTAGATGTTGAGACTTTCGTCTTATTTTTGAGATGGAGTCTTGCTCTGTCACCCAGGTTCAAGCGATTCTCCTGCCTCACCCTCCCAAGTAGCTGGGATTACTGGTGCCTACCACCACACCTGGCTAATTTTTGTATTTATAGTAGAGATGGGGTTTCACCATGTTGGTCAGGATGGTCAAGATCTCCTGACCTTGTGATCCAGCCACCTCAGCCTCCCAAAGTGCTGGAATTACAGGCATGAGCCACCATGTCCGGGTCCCGAGTTCTGCAGGCTGTATAAATGTATTATTTGCTTGCTGATTTTATCGTAAATTACAATCTTTTACTAATTAATTTTTGAGATTATACATATGGCTTTTCAATATGTAGTAAGCAATATAACTTACCACTCCACTCATTAATGTCACAATGTGCTGCCAGGCACAGTGGCTCACACCTGTAATTCCAGGACTCTGAAAGGCTGAGGCTGGTGGATAATTTGAGGCCAGGAATTTGAGACCAGCCTGGCCAACATAGTAAAACCTCATCTCTACTAAAAATACACAAGTTAGCTGCATGGTGGCACGTGCCTGCAATCCCAGCTACTCAGGAGGCTGAGGCAAGAGAATCGCTTGAACCAAGGTGGCAGAGGCTGCAGTGAGTCGAGATCGCACCATTGCATTCCAGTCTGGGTGACAGAGCAAGACTCCATCTCAAAAAAATAAAATACAGAGGCCAGACATGGTGGCTCATGCTTGTAATTTCAGCACTGAGGGAGGCTGAGGCAGGTGGATCACGAGGTTAGGAGATCGAGACCATCCTGGCTAACATAGCGAAACGCCATCTCTACTAAAAATACTAAACATTAGACAGGTGCTGTGTCACATGCCTGTAATTCCACCTCCTCAGGAGGCTGAGGCAGGAGAATCTTTTGAATCTGGGATGCAGATGTTGCAGTGAGCCAAGAACACACCACTGCATTCAGTCTGGGTGACAGACAGAGTTTCACCATGTTGGCCAGGCTAGTCTTGAACTCCTGACCTCAGGTGATCCACGTGCCTTCGCCTCCCAAAGTGTTGAGATTACAGGCATGAGCCACGGCGCCCAGCCCACCCTTTATTTATTAAAGAATCTTACTCTTGTTGTGTTCCTAAACTTTGAAGATCATGTTGTGGAAGTTTACAATAAGTATTGTTTTTTTGTGTCATATTTACACATTTCAGTATTATTTACCAGCTGTACTGAATTGGAAACCTGTTGGTGTTTATGTTTTGTAGACATCTCTTCCATATGCATGATGAAGGAGTTCTCATCCACAGGGCCAGGCAATACAGACGTGTTCCACACAGGGACATTGCAGAGACATGAAATTCATCAAACTGGAGATTTTTGCTTCCAGAAAACTGAGAAAAATATTCATGACTTTGAGTTTCAGTGGCAAAAGGATGAAAGAAATAGTCAGGAAGTACCCATGACAAAAATCAAAAAGCTGACTGATAGTACAGACCGATATGATGACAGGCATCCTGGAAACAAGCCTGTGGAAGATCAGCTTGGAGTGAGCTTTCATTCACATCTGTCTAACCTGCATATATTTCAGAATGAAGAGAACATTGATCATCAACTAGAGAAGTCTGTAACTGATGTTTCCTTAATTTCAGCTTCCCCAAGAATTTTTTGTAGGCCCCAAACCCATATTTCTAATTACTGCAGGAATAATTTGCTTCATTCATTACTGACAGAAAGAGAGGAAGTACACATGAGAGAAAAATCTTTCCCATGTCATGAGAGTGGCAAAGCCTTTCATTGTAGCTCACTGTTAAGGAAACATCAGACCATCCATTTAGGAGAGAAACAATATGAATGTGATGTGTGTGGCAAGGTCTTTAATCAGAAGCGATACATTGAACGCCATCGTAGATGTCACACTGGTGAGAAACCTTACAAGTGTAGTGAGTGTGGCAAGAGCTTCTGTCACATGTCATATCTTGTATGCCATCGTAGACTTCATACTGGAGAGAAACCTTACAAATGTAATGAGTGTGGCAAGACCTTCCATCAAAGTTCAGGCCTTCTATTTCATAAGAAAATTCACACTGGAGAGAAACCTTACCAATGTAATGAATGTGGGAAGGTTTTTAATCAAAAATCACACCTTACACGTCATCATAGACGTCATACTGGAGAGAAACCTTACAGATGTGAAGAATGTGACAAAGTTTACACTCGCAAATCATACCTTGAAATCCATAGGAGAGTTCACACTGGAGAGAAACCATAGAAATGTAACTTTTGTGACAAGGCTTTTGGGTGTGCTTCACACCTGGCACGATATACTAGAATCCACACTGGAGAAAAACATTACAGGTGTACTGAGCGCGGCCAAGCCTTTAGTGGACACTGAGCACTTATTCATCATCAAGCAATCCATGGTATAGGGAAACTTCACTAATGTAATGATGGTCACCAAGTCTTCAGTAACGCTACAACCATTGCAAATCATTGGAGAATCCATAATGAAGACACATCTCACAGGTGTAATTGGTGTAGCAAATTTTTCAATCTTTCATACCTTGTCATTCATCAGTGAGCTCATACTGGATGGAAACCGTATAAATGTCATGATTGTGGCAACGTCTTCAGTCAAGCTTTATCTTATGCAAAACATAGGAGAATTCTTTTTTTTTTTAGAAGTGAAAGGTCTCACATATTTATTACTGAACCCAGGCAACCAAAGCCTTCTTGTTTTTTTTTAACATGAATAATGGAAGCACTGTGGGTTGTACTAACTAATGCCTTCATAACAGATCCAGAGAGGAAACTGTTCAAACTTCTCCAGATAGCGGTGACATTTTTCAGCTTGATTTGGTAACACGATTGTGACTTTCAGACCGCATAAATACATGTGCCATCACATGTGTAATTTCTTATAGCCCCAGCTTGGTTCTTCTCCAGTGTCTCCTTTTGGAGTTGTACCTGATTTTATTACCAGTTTTCATCCGAATCCACTGGGGAATGGGACGATTTTGCTTGTTTCTTGGCCAGGAATCGCTTAATACTGAAAGTCTTGTGAGAAGACATGGCGAGAAATGGAATAAAGCACACACCACGATGGCGGAGAAAGGAAGAGAGGAGGAGAATTCTTATTGGAGGAAAACCTCACTCGTGTGATAATCGTGGCAAAGCCTTTGTTTCACGTTCACGTCATTAGACATCAGAGAATCCACAATGGACAAAAATCCTACAAATGTCATAAGTGTGGCGAAGTCTTCAGTCTAGAGTAAATCTTGCAGAACATCGGAAAATTCATTCTTGAGATAATTGTTCCAAATGCAATGCGTATAACAACCCATCAAGCATTAACTGACATTAGAGTCAATTCAGCATCAACTTGAGTTTGCGTTGACTTAACATTGAGTTCAAGCATTAATTGACATTAAAGTTTTTATGTTAAGAGGATTAAGCCAGGTGTGGTGGCTTTTTATGAGCACTGTGTTGAATGTAAGTCACATTGGGTAATATAATCATTTAACAATATTTTTCCAATCCATCAATATGGGTTGTATCTATATGTGTGTAGTCACTATTTAAGTATGATCTTCTCACCTTTTTACATTTATTCCTAAGTATATCTTACTTTAAGTTGTCTAGCAAATGGAAGTGTTTTCTTAATTTCCTTTTAAAATTGTTCATTGTTAATGTCTGAAAATTCAGCTAAGTTTTGCTACTGATACTGTATTCTGCAAATACACTTAATGTATGTATTGGTTATAGTGGTATTTTGGTTGACTGATTTTCTACACAGAAAACCATGTCATCTACAAATATTATTTACTTCTTTCTTTCTTTCTGATTTGGATGAGTTTTATTTCTTTTGCTATTTAGTTGCTCTGGCTAAGACAGCCAGTATTTATTGATAGAAGGGGTGAGGGTGTTCTTGGATCATGTGAGATCCTACAGAAAAAGCATTCCATTTTTTCTTTTTAACTGGTTATTTCCATCGTGGTCATTTCACGGAGGGTCTTTATATTATTGAGGTAAATTTCCTTCCTTGTCTGTTTTGTTTAGGATTTCTATGATGACTGGATGGTGAGTTTTGTGAAATGCTTTTCCTCCATCTATTGAGATAATGTGGTTTTCATCTTTCATTCTGCTCAAGTGGCATATATTGATTTGCTTGAATATGTTGAATCTTTTTTGCATCCCAGAAATAAGTGGCAGTTTAATTCCATGATTCTTTTTATATCCTCTTGAATACAATTTAATAGTAAAAGGGGTCTTCAAGAAGTTAATGGAAAAATACATATTATGAGAAAATTGTGCATGAATTTCATACTTTTTGCACCAAAATAAACTGGTACAGCTCTGTTATAACATGTCTGAACTGGCTCTAGTTTGAGGCACTCAGAAGGGTAAGAGTTTGAAAAGGGACTCTAGGCTGGGCGCGGTGGCTCACGCCTGTAATCCCAGCACTTTGGGAGGCCGAGGCGGGTGGATCACGAGGTCAAGAGATTGAGACGATTCTTGTCAACATGGTGAAACTCCGTCTCTACTAAAAATACAAAAAATTAGCTGGGCATAGTGGCACGTGCCTCTAGTCCCAGCTACTTGGGAGGCTGAGGCGGAATTGCCTGAAGCCAGGAGGCGGAGTTTGCAGTGAGCCAAGATCGCACCATTGCACTCCAGCCTGAGTAACAAGAGCGAAACTCCGCCTCAAAAAAAAAGAAAAAAATTATTGATATGTTTTTAGCAACATTAATCGTACAAGTATGTGATTATATTTCAGGGAAGAAATATTTTTTAAAAAAGTATTTGAGAATGAGGACAAAGCTCTGATTTTTCTTATATTCCCCCAATTTCTATCTAAGGAGCCTGGGTGTCATGCCCTACAAACCATAACTGCTGATCAGATGGGTTTTATTTAATCCTACATATCCTGTCTTACTTTCCAGTCTGACTCTGGCATGACATGTGACAAGAAAGTCAAAATATTTTACTCCACAGTATGTTTCTTTGCCATATTTTGGAATGGTTCTGCAAAGTTGTCCTTTGTTGGGGGCACATGAGCATCTGGAAACAATCTCTGTTAACAGAACTAGATCTTTTTCTTCTAAGTATTCTCAATCCTGAAGAGATTGTGAGAATCTAGCACCGTTTAATGGTCTGAATAGAAAACATTTGTCATCTATTATCTCTTTTTTTTTTGAGACGGAGTTTTGCTCTTGTTACCCAGACTGGAGTGCAATGGCACGATCTCGGCTCACCGCAACCTCCGCCTCCTGGGTTCAGGCAATTCTCCTGCCCCAGCCTCCTGACTAGCTGGGATTGATTACAGGCACGAGCCACCATGCCCAGCTAATTTTTTTTGTATTTTTAATAGAGACGGGGTTTCACCCTGTTGACCAGGATGGTCTCGATCTCTTGACCTCATGATCCACCCGCCTCCGCCTCCCAAAGTGCTGGGATTACAGACTTGAGCTACCACGCCCGGCCTGTCATCTATTATTTCTAAGGACAGCCAGTAGTAGTGAGGAACGAGACCCTTAATCCTCTTCTACATTGCAACTGAAAAGGAGAAGTCAGAAGTCAGCCAGAGGAGGGCTGGCCAGCCAGGTTAAGGATAAGACCCCTGCTGCTAACCACAGTCCCATCTATAGATCACAGATACGGTATGGAGGAATCTTTTCAAAAGGCATTGTTTTTACTTAAACACGATCAAACCCCACGCCTACGTCATGGATCAAGACCCTTTCACATGTAATTTCTAGAGTTGTAAGCCCTAAAAAGGGCAAGGATTTTCTTCGTTGGGGGCTGGGCTGTCCCGGCCGAATCAATCACCCCTTCTTTCCCTGTTTAGTGTCGAGAGGTTTGTTTTCTGGTCTTTCCGGCTTCAGTAAGAAGACTTCACAAGAACCTCGGTCTCCACTATCTTTTATCTGAACCTGAACACTTTCTCTATGGATCACAAGTATTTAGACAAATTCTTTTTTTTTTTTAAGAGATGGGGTTTCCTCCCCATGTTAGTCAGGCTGGTTTCTAACTCCCGACCTCAGGTGATCCACCCGCCTCGGCCTCCCAAAGTGCTGGGATTACAGGAAGGAGCCACCGCGACCGGCCTGGTATTTAGACAAATTCAACCAATTGTCAATCAGAAAATGTTTACATTTATCTACAGCCTGGAAGCCCCCGCTTTGAGTTGTCCCGCCTTTTTGAAGCAAAGCAATGTATTTCTTCAAAATATTTGATTGATGTCTAATGCTGCCCTAATGTCTCAGAGCAAGTTGTTCCCATCACCTTGGGCACAGGTTGTCAGGATCTCCTTGTGTCTCAGGCCATGGTCATTCATATTTAAAGGGGGAGGATTTGGGCCGTCAGCCTGAAATTCTAGGTTTCGCTCAGGCAGGCCTTTGCATTTGGCATTCTAGTTTGCAACATTTCCTGCCCCAAACAACATCGAGGCTTTGGAATTAAATTGCTAAAATTAAGTTCAATAGCAAGGAACGTTCCTGGATCCAATTACCTCCCAGGTTGACTTCTCAGCATGGTGCTATTTCCGCAGACTGCTGAGCTGCTCCAGCCCCAACTGGCGGTTTTCGCCTCGAAAACCCAGAAAACAGAGGCCCAGAGAGTCAGATGTGAAGCTCAGCCCCAGCGTGTCCCCGCCCCGGCGGATCCCTCACAGCCCCGGCAACTTCTCCCCTGCACCAGCCCCCTCGGTCCTTCCCTACCTGCCACGGCCGCACTCCGGCCCCGCCCACACCTTCGAGTCCTTTCCCGCCCTCGCCCAGGCCTGGTCTCCCGCCTCGGGCAGACCGGAAGTGGACGGCTGGGACTGAAGGTCACACCGTGGCGCGTGAGTCTTGCTGTTTTGTCCGCGCTTTCCAGGCCTCTGGTGCCGTTATACCGGGGACGTGGGATTCCCCCACAGACCTAGAAATTCCGGCCCCTTTTTCTTATCCCAGAACAAATTGAGACGTCCGGGTGAGAGTGCGTGGGTCGCTTCCTTTTGAATGTAAAGTCTTCCTGAGTCGGATCCCGTCCCACTCTTCCTACACTGGGTCCGTGGAGACACCCTCCACAGAGAAATTTTCCTGCCGAAAACCCTTCCTGACCCTCCCGCCACGCGCCGTTTCGAGTCTTCACCCGCTGGCTGATTCCCCTCCCCGGGCGCCTCCCAGCCTCCCAGCCTCCCAGCCTCCCTCTCCTGAGTTCTTGCAGGGCAGCGCGTCCTCTGCCTGGTCCTGGGATCCTGCAGACCCCACCCCTGTCCGGAGGCGCCGTCGCCCCCCACCTCCCTCCTCCTAATGCCGGACCCTGCTGCTCCCTAGTTCCAACCCCTGGGAGACGAGCTCTTCCTGGAGGCAGCCATCTTATCCCATCCTCTCCCTGTTTTACTAGAAGGCAGCCTTGGGTGTGCGATGTCCAGGTTTTGGCTGGACATAGAATTGGAAAAAAAAAAAAAAAAAAAAAAGAGAGCAACAAAGTAAGAAAAGAACTGGGCCGAGTGTGGTGGCTCACGCCTGTAATCCAAGCACTTTGGAGGCCAAGGCGGGCGATCAGCTGAGGTCGGGAGTTCAAGACCAGCCTGACCAACATGGTGAAACCTTAAAAAAAAAAGAACTAAGCGGTGAAAGCAAGAATTGATTCAATAAAGAAAGCACTTCACAGGGCGGGAGTGAAGTGGAAGAAAGCACTTCACAGGCCCGAGAGAGCATTTCCAGGGCCCCGTTTACAAAAATTCTGGGGGTTGAAGTCTTTCTTTTGAGGTCCCCATGGGCTACCCCTTTTCTGGATGAAGGACTTCGGCCCTTGCTGAGGTGAATTGGCCCGAGCCCACAGCAGGTGGGTGCCCTGTGCGGAAGCGTTGGCCGGGGCCTGGCCATGGCCACTCCTGGGCACTCTGTGTTTCCTTGGGAGACGTGGTGGAAGGCGGAGAGCTGTAGAAAGAGTAGCCTTTGATCCTTTGTTAGTCCGCGTGGGGAGTGTAAGTTTAGCCAAGAGAATGGAACTAGACTCAAGCTCAGGAAGCAAGTTTTACTTTTTTTTTTTTTTGCCGATCAAGGAGAGCTTTTAAGGTTGCTCAGGTTGGCCTTGAACTCACAGCCTCGCCTCCGCAAGCGCCACGACATCTGGCCGGAGCCACTGCGGACCCCAGGAAGCAAGTTTTACTAACCTGCCGGCTGTCCCATAACAATCACAGGAGGCAGCCCCGAGCTTACAAAAGGAGGGGTTTACATGGGGTGAGAGGGGCATAAGGGAGTTTCAGGACTGAGACTCTATCAGCTTGCAACAGGCAGAGATGGTTTGTACCTTGGGACAGACTTACAACACATCATCCTGTGACTTTTGTGGTGGTAGTTAAAAAAAAAACAGGATTTTTCAGGTATATGTAAAGCAGGAATTTACAAGTATGGAAACGAACATTTGTCTTCCCTGTGCTCCCCCGAGCTGCCCAGATCACTAATAAGCCTTTGCTTACTTGTAGCAGCTACTTGGGAGTTCAGGAATGCAGCTGCGGAGCAATCTGAGTGTGGGGGGTTCAGTTATGGGGAGGGGGTTTTCTGAGGCAGCTTGTCCCTTACATTCCTGCCTGTTAATAGCTAACAAGAGGGCGCCCTTGTCATCCGGCTGCTTCTTGTTGGAAGGGAGACTGTGTGCGGGGCTAGTTGGTAGGGATTGTCATTCCTGGAGATGTCGGTACTCTTGGAGCAGCGTCATGTCTTGTGTCCATGGGCGAAAGCTCTAATACGGTCCTGTAAAAGGTGGGTGAGGAGACATAAGAGGCAGGGGCTCATTGCCAAAAGGAGAAAGGGTTATGGCAGGACCTAGGAGGGGCGGTGGCCAGGGTGCCCGGGGGTTACAGAACCACTGGGGCCAGGTGAACTGACTGTCCTTAAGTTGTTGTGCTCGGTCTTTCAGCTTTTTTTTTTCTATTGAGATGGAGTCTCACTTGTTGCCCAGGCTGCTGATTATGCAGGTGGGTTCTTTGAGTGGTCATGTTGCCCATTTCTTTTTTTTTTTTGAGACGGAGTTTCGCTCTTCTTACCCAGGCTGGAGTGCAATGGCGTGATCTCGGCTCACTGCAACCTCCTCCTTCTGGGTTCAGGCAATTCTCCTGTGTCAGCCTCCCGAGCAGCTGGGACTACAGGCATGCACCACCATGCCCAGCTAATTTTTGTATTTTTAGTAGAGACGGGGTTTCTCCATGTTGACCAGGATTGTCTCGATCTCTTGACCTCGTGATCCACCCGCCTCGGCCTCCCAGAGTGCTGGGATAATAGGCGAGAGCCACCGCGCCCAGCCTCTTTCTGCTTTCAACCTGACACTAGTCGTGATTCCAAGGGCTGCTAATAAGGGAATGAACTGTATTGCCCTTTTTGGTGTGTGATGTAGCAGAGACACCAATTTCTTGGTTTGAGGAGACCAGGTTAATGTTGGGGGTAAGGTAAACCAGGGTGCAAATACCTGTCTAGTGGGTAGGAGACAGAAGTAGGTTGTGGGTCCGCAGAGGAAGAAGATGCCTGCGGTGTTAATGCAGACAGACAAGCCGATTGAGAATAAGTGTTGGGACGTGTAGTTCCTCATTTGGAGGGACTCGGTTCAGCTTCAGAAACCCAGAGTGAGGAGGAGAGAGACCCCTTTGAGACTTCCTATCTGGGGCACGGTCTTCCATGTTTGAGAGGCAGGAGGGGAGGTAATGCAGACGGGCTGGGTAAAGAGGCCGTTGGCTTCAGGGTCACTGAATAATTTACTCAGAGTCCAAATATGCCTATCACATTCTCCGTCTGGCAAGAGAGAGGATTTCTTATTGCCAAAGGAACCCCCTTTACCAACTCCTCCAGACTGCATGCCTCCTGGCTAAAACAGGAGTTACACACTGTGGAGGGCACCACACAGGGTCAGATGACATCTCAAGAGGAAACAGAAAGGCCAATGAAGCAGCAAAAGAAGCCTCCCTTCCTTCTGGCCCTGCCAGAAGGTTTGGGAAGAGGGATGACAGATGGTCTGAGTTGAGCCACAGGCAGAGGGAGGGATGGTGCCTAAGTGTGTGTCCATTCCAAGAGGTGACACATAAGAATGGGACCTTGGATGGCAGGGTGAGGGAGTTTTGTGTTGGGGTCTGGCATGTCTGCCGGGGGGGGCTGCCAACCTGCGGGAGTCCCCGAGACCGCCAACGTAGATGTCTTGTTCAACCTTAGGGAGAGAGTGCGTGGAAGTGAAAGAATAAAGAAAAGTGGAGTCTGGAGGGCTGCGTGACCCTAAGTCAAGCAGCAGTTTTATTTTTGTGGGTGACAGCTTTTATACCTTTTTTTTTGTTACATTTACTTTAGCTCAGCAGAAAAGGGGTAAACAGAAAAGGGAACAGAAACCACGTAAAAATAGTTATCAGGGGCCTGTGATAACAGCTCACAAAGCAGTTTAAGAGTTAATCTATGTTTTTCAAAGATACACAGTGCAAGCAAACAATGGTGCCCTTAAGTGGCTTGTTAATCATGTTTTCCATCAGGAGGTAGAACAGAGGCTCAGCTCCTGAGAGAATATGGGCAGGGGTCTCTGCCCCTCTCAGGCATCTCAATTGCGCCAAGCCTGTTGCTTACACAGAGACTAAAGGGGACATGAAAGCAGTCAGCACAATGTCCTCGTAAACCGCAGGCCCTTGCTCTGTATCTTGTTTTTGCCTCAGTGGCTCAGCCCGTGACCCTTGCCTCAACTCGACAGCCCTCGAGAGCAGCGGGGAGAGCAGATAGGTCCAGCAGCCAAAATAGGGCGAGTCACGCTAGCTGTCTCAAGCCTTTGGCGTGAACGCTGCAGTTTTGTGTGGTTGTAGTTGGCAGTGTATGTGGAGAGAAGGTAGGAAACTCTGTTAGCAGGGCAGTGGGATTGTTTCCAGTGAGGATGAGGACTCTGTCCACAGAGGCAGAGCCTTTTTGGATGGTGTATGAAAACCAAATGAAAATATGGTCCCAGGGCTGAGAAACTGGGAGACCTGAGCAGGCAGTAGAGGAAAGGGAAATGCAGGTCCAGCAAGTGTAGAGCTGGGGCACAGTAACAAGAAGTGAGGGATCCAGAGAGCGGGGGAGCCTCAGTAACGAGGAGTGAGAGATCCAGAGAGCATGGGAGACTCAGTAACGAGGAGTGAGAGATCCAGAGAGCATGGGAGCCTCAGTAATGAGGAGTGAGAGATCCAGAGAGCGTGGGAGCCTCAGTAACGAGGAGTGAGAGATCCAGAGAGCGGGGGAGCCTCAGGAACAAGGAGTGAGTGATCCAGAGAGCAGGGGAGCCTCAGTAACAAGGAGTGATCCAGCGAGCGTTCGAGTCTTGTAGAAGTCAGAAGGGAGTCTCGGGGCAGAGGCAGTGAGGCTGACTGTTAAAAGAGTTAGGAACTTGAGGAAGAATTGGAGTCTGTATTTGGGGGAAGGAGCTGAGGGGTTGTAGGGAGAGGTGGTCTCCTGTAGCAGTGAAGCCTTTTCAGTGGGGGAATATTGGGGCTGGGTGGTGGGGGTAACCAGGAGGAGCTGGGCAGGGTCAGAAGGAAGGGAGGCTTCTTTTGCTGCTTCATTGGCCTTTCTGTTTCCTCTTGAGATGTCATCTGACCCTGTGTGGTGCCCTCCACAGTGTGTAACTCCTGTTTCAGCCAGGAGGCATGCAGTCTGGAGGAGTTGGTAAAGGGGGTTCCTTTGGCAATAAGAAATCCTCTCTCTTGCCAGACGGAGAATGTGATAGGCATATTTGGACTTGGTAAAAATGTTGACTTTGCCTTTGGAGAGGGTTAGGGCCCTGGTGAGAGCTGTAAGTTCTGTGTTTTGGGAGGAGGTCCCTGGGGGCAGGGGTCTGGCTTTAGTTAAAGGTGATGACTGTATCCCCAGGGATTTTATGGAGCTGACTGACTTGGAAGAGAAGCCATCTAAAATAACTGGTTGTCAGGACTGGGGAGAGGGTTAGGGGAGCTCTTAGAAAATGAGGCTGTAGGTGATCAAGGATTTGTGGGAGAAAAGGAAGATACTGGGAGTAGAGATGCAGGATTGAAGGAGCACTTTTGGAGGAGTAGAACTCAGTTTTTAAGAAACGGCATGGAGTGGTTGGATTGGGGAATAAGAAAGTGTGCTCAGTGCTCGGGAGGAGAGGAGGCTTTGCAGATGATGTGGCTGTGCACTGTGGTGTTTTGACCGAATGATTTTTGCTTTCTAAGGCTAGGGTGGCAGCTGCTACTGGGGCTTGGAGGCAGGTCATCCGCCTTCCGGCGGTGGTGTCTAACTGTTTACCGAGGTGATCTATAGGTGTGAAGGGAGGAGGACTTTTTTGTTGGCCAAAGACACCAAGGGCTATTCCATGGTTTTTCACAGTGTGGAGAATGAAGGGCTGAGAGATGTCGGGCACAGACAGAAGAAGCGGTTTAAGTTTGTGGAAGCTAGGGATTGTATTTCATGATGGATGTAGACGCTTAATTAGAGGGCCTCTAGCCCCTCCACAGTGTGGGCAGGTGAGGAGAGCAAAATTGGGAATTCATATTCTGAAGAAGCTTGCTAGTCCTAGGAAAGAAAGAATTTCAACCCCATCTCTCTCTCTTTTTTTTTTTTTTTTTAGTTTCGCTGTTGTTACCCAGACTGGAGTGCAATGGCACGATCTCGGCTCACCGCAACCTCCGCCTTCTGGAATCAAGGAATTCTCCTGCCTCAGCCTCCCAAGTAGCTGGGATTACAGGCACGCGCCACCATGCCCAGCTAATTTTTGTATTTTTAGTAGAGATGGGGTTTTACCTTGTTGACCAAGATGGTCTCGATCTCTTGACCTCGTGATCTACCCGCCTCGGCCTTCTAAGGTGCTGGGAGTATAGGCGTGAGCCCTTGTGCGGCTCAACCCCATCTTAAAAAGAAAAGACCAGGCATGGTGGCTCACGCCTGTAATCCAAGCTCTTCAGAGGCCAAGGCAGGCGGATCACCTGAGGTCGAGAGTTCAAGACCAGCCTGACCAACATGATGAAACCCCGTCTGAAAAAAATAAAGGATTTCACCTTTAGAAGTGGGTGGGGGTAGGCTGTCTGTCAGTGCTGCTCGTGCTGGGGTCGTGGCTTGGGCCCTGGTGGAGAGCTGCACTTCTGAGTACAACACCGTTGGAGTGAAGAGTTGGGCTTTGGAGGGGGAAACCCTATATCCTTCACTAGCAAGAAAGTTTACAAGGGTAATAGTGTGAGTCTGAGAGTCCTCTAAAGAAGAGCTACAGGGGAGGAGGTTGTCCAGGTACTGGAGGAGCCAGCTAGGAGAGAGGTCTAGGGAGGTGAGATCTTGAGCCCGAGCTTGTCTGAAGAAATGGGGGCTCTCTCAAAGTAAATTGTCGTGACTGGAAAAGAACAAGATCTGAAAATAGGACAAAACTACCCTTATACGGCTTCCTGTAAGACATTCTTATCTCTGCATAATATCTGCTGCAGCGGGCCAAGGACCGTCTTTCCACAGGGTGAGGTGTCCCCTGTGTGTGTGTTTTGTCACAGAAAACAAGTGAGTGGTTTCTAAATATTAAATAATGATCGGGCACAATGGTTCATGACTGTAATCCCAGCTCTTTGGGAGGCTGGAGTGAGCAGGTCAGGAGATTGTGACCATCCTGGCCAAGATGGTGAAACCCCGTCTCTCTTAAAAATACAAAACGTAGCTGGGTTTGTGCTTGTGATCCCAGCTCCTGGGGAGGCTGAGGCAGGAGAATCACTTGAACCTGGGAGATGGAGGTTACAGTGAGCTGAGATGCTGCCACTGAACCCAAGCTTGGCAACAGAGCTAGACTCCGTCTCTAAATAAGTAAATAAATAAATTTCATATTTTTTTCACATACAGGATTGATTTCCAAAGACTCATGTTGCGAGAGGCAGCCACCAGGAAGAGCAAAAACAAAAGAGGAGCCCGGGATGCCTCCTCCTCAGGTAAAGTGATCGTCCTCTGTGGATCATTCTTTTTTGTTGTTGTTTCTGAAATGCCAGGTTTGTAGTAGCCTGTCTTCTGTGAGTCTGAAGCGTCCTGCCTGGCACGTGTGCTCACACTCACTCATGCCTTTTCTCAGTCCCTCCCATCTCCACTTAGATTCCATCTCCTATAACCCAGTGACGTGAGCTCGGGAAGAGGCTGCACTGGGCATGGTCCTGGGAAGGGCTCTCCCCAGACATGGATGGAGACGGCATATGGGCCTTGTGCTGTCGGTGGTGCTGGGCAGCAGGGCATGTTCAGGGGCCACATCTGGATGCACATGAAGCTCTTTGTGGACCAGATCGGAGAAACTCTCTATGACAGTCATACATTAATGTGCACTGGTATCTGGAGGGGAAAAGGAGACACGTTAGAGGAGCTATTTAGTGTCGATTTTGTAGCGCATTTGAAGCTACACTAGTGAGTCAATATGTCTCTGACTCCAAATTATTCTTTTTAATACAGATTATCACTCTGGAGCCCAGTCTGGAGTGCAGTGGTACAATTCTAGTTCACGGCAGCCTCGAACTCCTGGGTTCGAGTGATCCCCACCTTAGCCTCCCAAGGAGTTAGGACATCAGGCATGTGCCATCATGGCTACTAATTCTTTTATGTTTTACTATGTAGAGATGGGGGCTTGTTCTGTTGTCCAGGCTGGAGTGACGTGGCACAAACATAGCTCACTGTAACCTGGAACTCCTGGCCTCAAGTGATCCTCCCACCTGGGCCTCTCAAAGTGCTGGAATTTTAGGTGTGGGCCCTAGGCCTGGCCTGGTGAAAGTTTTGTTACCATGTTTTATCCTGAAAGCTTTGAAAATTTCCATATTTCCAAGGTGGAAAACAAGACACCTTGTTCTTTAAAATTCTCCTCAAAGCATTCTCTGAATAAAGACTTGTGAGTCCTTGACAGTTTTTTTCTTCTTTTATTTTTTTGAGAAAGAGTTTCATTCTTTTTGCCCAGGCTGAGGTGCAGTTGTGCAATGCCTCTGTCTCCCAAGTAGGTAGGATTATAGGCATGCACCTCTATGTCCGGTTACTTTTTTTTTTTTTTTGGGGGGGGGGGAGGAAGGCAGGAAGGGAGGGATGAAGGAAGGAAGGAAGGAAGGGAGGAAGCGGGGAGGGAGGAAGAAGGACGGTAGGGAGGAAGGAAGGGATGAAGGAAGGAAGGAAGGGAGGGAGGAAGCGGGGGAGGGAGGGAGGGAAGGGAAGGAAGGAAATCAAGCAATGAGAGAGACATTGCCGACCTGGATCTAGAGGTTTACAAGTTGATTTCTTTTTTTTTGAGAGAAGGAAAGAAAAAAAAAAAATAAGTAAAAAAATAAGTAAAGGCGAGGAAGAAAGAGGAAGAGAAAGAGGGAGAGTAAATGGAAATATTGCTTTATTTTGAAAAAATTGAGTATTAATAATGACCAATCAATGTTTCATTTAAACTTATGGGTAGGTGTGATGTGGTATTGACAAGAATGTATATTTTGTGTATTTGAAGTGGAGAGCTCTATGAATATTTATTAAGTTTACTTGTTCTGGATCTGAGTTCGAGTCCTTGATATCCTTATTAATTTTCTGTCTCATTGAATCTAAGTCTCGTATCTGGGTGTTAGGATCGTTAGCTCTTGTTGTTGCATTGATCCTTTTACCACTATATCTTTGTTGCTTTAAAATCTATTTTCTCCGATACGAGAATTGCAACTCCTGCTTTTTATTTATTTATTATTTATTTTTGCTCTCCATTTGGTTGGTAAATCTTTCTCCATCCTTGTTTGAGTCTTTGTGTATCCTTGCATGTGAAACAGGTCTGGATGTAACATGCCATTGGGTTTTGGCTGTGTCTTTTGATTGGGGGATTTAGTCAATTTAAATTTAGGGTTACTGCCATTTGATGTTGACTGGCTGTTTTATCCATGTGTTGGTGTAAATTCTTCTTTATGTTGGTGCTCTTTACTTTTTGGTGTATTTTTAGACAGGCTAATACTGGTTGTTTCTTTCTGTGTGTAATGCTTCTTTCAGAAGCTCTTGTAAAGCAGGCCTCGTGGTAATAAAATCTCCGAGTTCTTGCTTGTTCATAAAAGATTTTATTTTTCCTTCAGTTGTGAAGCTTAGTTTGGCTGGATATGAAATTCTGGGCTGAAGGTTCTGGTCTTTGAGAATGTTGAATATTGGCCCCCACTCTCTTCTGGCTTGTAGAGTTTCTGCTGAGAGATCTGCTGTAAGTCTGATGGGCTTGCCTTTGTGGGTAACATGACCTTTCTCTCTGGCTGCCCTTAGTATTTTCTCCTTCGTTTCAACCCTGGTGAATCTAACGATTATGTGCCTTGGGGTTGCTCTTCTTGAGGAATATCTTTGTGGTGTTCTCTGTATTACCTGGGGTTGAATGTTGACCTGCTTTGCTAATTTAGGAAAATTTTCCTGAATAATATCCTGAAGGGTATTTTCCAGCTTGGATTCATTCTCTGCGTCGCATTCAGGTACACCTATCAAACGTAAATTTGGTCTTTTCACATAGTCCCACATTTCTTGGAGACTTTGCTCATTATCCTTTTTTCTCTAATCTTTTCTTCACGTTTTATTTCATTAAGTTGGACTTTGACCTCTGATATCCCTTCTGCTTGAACAATTCGAGTGTTTAAACCTGTGTATACTTCTCGGAGTTCCTGTATTGTATTCTTCAGTTCCATTAATTCACTCATACTCCGCTCTAAGTTGTCTATTCTCAATAGGATTTCATCAAACCTTTTTTCAAAGTTCCTGGTTTCTTTACGTTGGGCTACAACATGTTCTTTTAACTCACCGAAGTTTGTTATTATCCATTCCTTGAAGAGTGATTCTGTCATCAGGAGGCGCTCGTTCTCCATCAAGCCTTGTTCCATTGTTGATGTGGAACTGTGATCATCTTTAGAGGGAGAGGCGTTCTGACTTTGAGTATTCTCAGCTTTTTTACGCTGGTTTCTTCCCGTCATTGTAAATTTATCCTCCTGTCGTCTTTGAAATTACCAACTTTCAGATTAGGTCTCTTGAGTGGGCGTCCAGGTTGTTAGTTCCCAGGGCCAGAGCAGCGGCGTTAAAACTGATGGTGCTTTTCTGCCCAGGATTCTCCTGTCGGGCTTCCTTCTTGTGTAGGTAGTAGGCGACTCTGCCTTCCCGGGGCTCCAAACCTCGGTCAGAAGGGGAACCTGTCCTGTTTGCTCTGCGCCGAGCGCTGCTGGGCTCTGGTGTCCTGCTGGGGATCCGGGCCGGTCCTCAGAACCTGTTTACTTTGCTCCGAGAGCTGCCGCGTCGAGGTGCCGGCGGAACCGCTGCACCGGCCACGAGAGTCGCGCTGGCCACCCGTGTGTTTCCACCACTGGGGGATCTCCTGCTCCGTGAGCAACCAGAATTTGTCTGAAAGTGTGGCATCCTCTAGTTCTCCGCGCCTTCCCTGAGAGCTGCAATCCCGGGATGTTAGCGATCGGCCATCTTGGATCGTTTCCCGGTTACTTTTTTATTTTCAGTAGAGATGGGGTTTCACCACCTTGACCAGGCTGGTCTCGATCTGTTGATCTTGTGATCCACCTGCCTCAGCCTCCCAAAGTGCTGAAATTACAGGCATGAGACACCGTGCCCGGCTGAACTTCAGAAATTTCCCACTCGGTTAAGGAAAGCTTACTACTGTGGTCTTACTACCATGTTCTTTTTGTATTTGGTGGAAGTGAAAGCCCATTGTATTGATCTTTTCTATTACTTGAGAGTCTGAGTAGATTTCATTAATCATGAACATGTGTAGGTAAAATGCGTTTTAATACTTTGCTGAGCATCCCTTTCCTGTATTTTGAGAGCTATTTTGCACTATTTAGTTTAGTTGTTTATTTTTGCCCTGGGGTTTTGTTCGGACTCTGTTGGTAGAAGTAACAGTGGAGGAAGTTACAGTGTGCCTGCATAAACTGGTTATAAGTAATGTTTTAAAGAAATCAGGAACAATAAACTTCAGGAGGCCTCTGGGGAGGAAGGCCTCTCTATGTCATATTCCCAAGTACAGAGTGACCCAAGCTGTATCTTTTTGAACACAGTGCTCAAGGAGATAACACTGGTTTGAAGCACTGAAATGTAGCCACCCACATAGACTCCTTGTTAAGCCCGTTCCTAACCACCTGCACATAATTACCTATAGATAAGCACATGCTTTTAGCTCTTAGAAAAATCACATAAAACGCCACTGCTATTAATCTTATGTTTGATGCACAGCTTCCCTTTCACCGATTCACCCCCACCATTTGCGCCATAGATCAAAGGGATCGTAGGCAGTAAGTATTGCAGAAAACCAGAGCCCAGGGCCTTTGCTGCCCACTTTGTGCACTGGCCTCCTGGTTCCAATTTATGCATTCTGTTTTGGAGACTGAGTCTCGCACTGTTGCCCCAGGCTGTAGTGCAGCAGTGGCACCATCTCGGCTCTCTGCAACCTCCGCCTCCTGGGTTCAAGCAATTCTCCTGCCTCAGACTCCTGAAAAGCTGGAATTACAGGCACGTGCCACTATGCCCAGCTAATTTTTTGTATTTTTAGTAGAGACGGGGTTTCACCATGTTGACCAGGATGGTCTCAATCTCTTGACCTTGTGATCCACCTGCCTTGGCCTCCCAAATACCTGGGATTATAGGCGTGAGCCACCGTGCCCAGCCTAATATCTATATATATTTTTAGAAAGAGTCTTGCTGTGTTGCCCAGGCCAGAGTGCAGTTGGGTGATCGCAGCTTACTGTAACCTCTGCCTTCAGGGTTCAAGCAATTCTCCTGTGTTGTTTTCCTGAACAGCTGGGATTACGGGTGCTTTCCCCCACCATGCCCAGCTAATTTTTTAACTTTTAGTAGATTCTAGGTTTTGCCAGGTTGGCTAGATGTGTCTCAGATTCTTCATGTCAGGTGATTTACCCACCTCAGTCTCCCATTGTGATGGGACTACAGGTCTGAGTCACTATGCCTAACCTTATTTACATACATATATATGTTTTTTGAGACGAAGTCTCACTCTGCAGCTCAAGCTGGAGTGCAGTGGTGTAATCTTGGCTCACTGTCAAATTCACCTCTAGGGTCCAAGTGAATCTATTCTCTCACCCTCTCAAGTAGCTGGGACAAGAGCCTTCTGCCACTGCGCCCAGTTAATTTTTTTTGTATTTGTAGTAGAGACTGGGTTTTACCATGCTGCCCTGGGTGATCTCAAAATAGTAAGCTCCTGTGATCCACCAATCTCAGCCTCCCAAAGTGCTGGGATTCTTGGTGAAAGCCTCCACACCCAGCCATATATTTTTTACATTGTCCGTAAAACAGACGTCCACACTAGCTTACAGGATTTTAAAATTTATTACAGAGAAGTACAATAAAAAGCAACTATACAGAAAAAATGTTCAAAGGTAGCAAATGTGGATTTTTCCTAACAGAATCTGGGATCAAATCAATACTTATTTTCTTGTTTCTGTTTTTTTTTTTTCTTTTTCTTTTTTTTTTTTTTTTTTGAGACGGAGTTTTCCTGTTGTTACCCAGACTGGAGTAAAACGGCGCGATCTCGGCTCACCGCAACCTCCCCCTCCTGGGTTCAATTAATTCTCCTGCCTCAGCCTCCTGAGAAGCTGCGACTAAAGGCGTGCACCACCATGCCCAGCTCATTTTTATATTTTTAGGAGAGACGAGGTTTCACCTTGTTGACAAGGATGGTCTCGATCTGTTGACTTTGTGATTCACCTGACTGGGCCTCCCAAAGTGCTGGAATTACAGGCGTGACCCACTGCGCCTGGCCTTAATACTTATTTTCTTTTTCATTTCATGTGAAGGTGATAACTGACTCCTCCATGTTTTGTTGAAATGTGTTTTTCATTTTAGGGACACTTGACTTTCAGGGATGTGGCTGTAGAATTCTCTTTGGCGGAGTGGAAATGCCTGACCCCTGTGCAGAGGGCTTTATACAGGGACGTGATGATGGAGAACTACAGGAACCTGGAGTCTGTGGGTGAGGAAAACGTCCCTCCACACACAAGGAATCTGCCCTTGTCCATCTGGGCTCTTCCTGGTATGTATTCTCTGTTGCAGTTTTGCCCCATATATGCTTTTGATGTACACGTCATTGTTTTCTGCAGTGATGACGCTATCGGGCATGGATAGCTTCTTAGGGACTCTCCTATGCAGTGGCTTTACATAAAAACAGAAAATTCATGAACACATGGACAAATACAGTAGAACATCATCCTGCTCTACGCAGAGATGCCCCTGGAGGTACTGAGCAGAATTGTCTGCATGGTCCAGGATGCGAGATACAAAGCATGACACTGGGCCGGGCGTGGTGGCTCACGCCTATAATCCCAGCATTTTGGGAGGCCGAGGCGGGTGGATTATGAGGTCAAGAGATCGAGACCATCCTGGTCAACAAGGTGAAACCCCTTCTCTACTAAAAACACGAAACTTAGCTGGGCATGGTGCTGCGCGCCTGTATTCCCGGCTACTTGGGAGGCTGAGGCAGGAGAATTGCTTGAACCCAGGAGGCGGAGGTTGCGGTGAGCCGAGATTGTGCCATTGCATTCCAGTCTGGGTAACAACAGCAAAACTTTCTATCAAGAAAAAAAAAAAAAAAAAAGAAAGCATGACACTGACTGACAAGTGTTTCCAGCCGTGGTTTTGACTATTTGTTTCTGAGACAGTCTCCCTCTGTTGCCCACGCTGCTGTACACTGTCATGATCTCCGCTCTGCATCCTGCACCTCCTGGGTTCAAGCAGTTCTCTTACCTCAGCCTCTCAGACTAACTGGAATTACAGGAACATGCCATTGTATTTTTAGTAGAAATAAGGTATCACCATGTTGGCCAAAGTGGTCTCGAACACGTGGTCTCAACTCATCTGCCTGCTTCAGCCTCTGCCCAAGTGTTGGGATTACAGGTGTGAGCCATCATGCCTGGACTCTCATTCCAGGTTTTGAGGAGCATCACAGAAGCCTCTCTCACAGGCACTATCCCAGTGTTCTTCACATAAAGTAATGATCCTTTTCTCTAAGCAGCACTGACTGCTGCAGAAATTCCTCCTAGAAAGGACATCATTCAGGCTCACTGCCTCATATATATAAGGCTCTTGACTGAGGTCTTTTTTTATTCTGACATGGAATTTTGCTCTTCTTACCCAGGCTGGAGTGCAGGGGTGAAATCTCCACTCACTGCAACCTTCGCCTTTTGGGTTCAAGCAATTTGCCTGCTTCAGCCTCCTGAGTAGCTGGGATTTACAGGCATTCACCACCATGTCTGGCTAATTTTTGTCTTTATGATAGAGATGGCTGTTCTCAAACTTTCACGATCACATTTGGGAAGTTTAAAATAACTATTGTTCTTGATGTAATATTTGCACATTTCCATATTAACCATTACCATTTGTACCTAACTGGAATCCTGTTGGTCTTTATGTTTTTCAGTTAGCTTTTTAAAATCCATAACGGAGTTCTCATCAACAGGGCAAGATAGTACAAGAGAAGGGATCCACACAGGGACATTGGGAAAATGTACAAGTCATCACATTGGAGATTCTTGCTTCCCAGAAGCTGAGAAAGATATTCATGAGTTTGAGTTTCAGAGGCAAGAAGTCAAAGGAAATGGCCATGAAGCACTCATGACAGAACCCAAGGAGTTGACTGGTAGTATAGAGCCATATGATGACGGGTGTGCTGGCAGGAAGCCTATTGGAGATCGGCTTGGGTTAAGCTTCCATTCGCATCTGCCTGAACTGCACATATTTCAGACCGAAGGGAACATTGATAATCAGCTAGAGACGTCTGCCAATGATGATTCCTCAGTTTCAACAGCCCAAAACATTTCTTGTAGGCTCAAAACCCATGTCTCTAACAAGCATGAGAATAATGTCCTCCATTCTTCATTATTCACACAAAAACAGGAAGTACACATGAGAGAAAAACCTTTCCATTGTAATGAGTGTGGCAAAGCCTTTCATAATAGTTCACTCTTAAGGCGACATCAGCTAACCCATTCAGGAGAGAAACAAAACAAATGTGATGTATGTGGCAAAGTCTTTCCTAAGAAGCACAACCTTGTAAGTCACCATAGAGTTCATACTGGAGAGAAACCTCACAAGTGTAATGAGTGCGGCAAGACCTTTACTCAGAAGTCATCCCTGCAGTGCCATCATAGAATTCACACTGGAGAGAAACCTTACACATGTAATGAATGTGGTAAGAGTTTTAGTAGAACATCACACCTTGCACGTCATCAGACCCTTCATACTGGAGAGAAACCTTACACATGTAATGAATGTGGTGAGAGTTTTAGTAGAAAATCGCACCTTGCACGTCATCACATATTTCATACTGGAGAGAAACCTCACAAATGCAAGGTTTGTGACAAGGTTGTCCGGAGTCATTCATGCCTTCTAGAGCATCAGAGAATACACACTGGAGAGAAACCTTACAGGTGTAACGAGTGTGGCAAGACCTTCAGCCGGAAGTCATACCTGAAGTGCCATCATAGAATTCACACTGGAGAGAAACCTTACAAGTGTAACGAGTGTGGCAAGACCTTCAGCCGGAAGTCATCCCTGCAGTGCCATCGTAGAATTCACACTGGAGAGAAACCTTACACATGTAATGAATGTGGCAAGGTTTTTAATCAGCCAGCACTCCTTTCACGTCACTGTAGACTTCATACTGGAGAGAAACCTTACAATTGTGAAAAATGTGACAAAGTTTTTAGTCGCAGATCACACCTTGAAGTACATAAAATAATTCATACTGGAGAGAAACCATACAAATGTAAGGTTTGTAACAAGGCTTTTGGGCATGATTCATACCTGGCACAACATCAGAGAGTTCATACTGGAGAGAAACCTTACAAGTGTAATGAATGTGGCAAGGTTTTTAATCAAAAAGCAAACCTTGCATGTCATCTTAGAGTTCATACTGGAGAGAAACCTTACAAGTGTAGTGAGTGTGGCAAGACCTTCAGTCAGATGTCATCCCTTGTAGTCCATCATAGAATTCACACTGGAGAGAAACCTTATCAGTGTAATGAGTGTGGCAAGACCTTCATTCAGATCTCATCTCTTACATGCCATCGCAGACTTCATACTGGAGAGTAACCTTACAAGTGTCATCCACAGGGTCCAGCCCTGCCGGGTCTCTTGGGTGTTCTTTTGTGTGCAGAGAAGATAGATCAAAGGAAAGAAAGACAAGACAGAGAGATAAGAAAAGAGTTGAGCTGGACCCAGGGGACTACTACTAGTAAGGTGCAGAGTCCAGTTGTGGCCCCGAATGCCTGGACATGCTGATACTTACTGTATACAAGGCAGGGGAGCAGGGTAAAGAGTGACTCATCTGACATGATTGATAGGGTCAGGCAAATCACATGCTTACAGCTCGGGGCCTCCCTTTCAGGTAGCCGCTGCAAAAAGGGAGGCACATACGTCAGCATCTTTCTATGCACTTGTCAGAAAGATCAAAGGCTTCCTGTAGGATTCCTCTATTCTCATGCCTTGTAAGAACATGAAAAGAGCACCAGGTTGGAAAGCGAAACCTGAAAGTGGACAAGGATGGTGACCATCGGAGCACAGCACCGCAGAGAGACATTTAAGCCCCTGGAGGCTGGGCGTGGTGGCTCATGCCTATAATCTCAGCACTTGGGGAGACCAAGGTGGGTGGATCATGAGGTCAAGAGATCAAGACCATCCCGGTCAACATGGTGAAAACCTGTCCCTACTAAAAATACAAAAAAGTTAGCTGGGCATGGTGGCTCGCACTTGTAGTCCCAGCTACTTGGGAGGCTGAGGCAGGAGAATTGCTTGAACACAGGAGGCGGCAGTTGCAGTGAGCTGAGATCACGTCATTGCACTCCAGCCTGGGTAACAATAGTGAAACTCTGTCTCAGAAAAAAAAAAAAAGTACCCCCTTGTCGCCTGCAGGTTGGCTTGGCTAATATCAGGCCTTCCCCAAGACTCAAGGTTTTCTGAAATCCCCCAATGAAAAAGAAACTCCCTTCCACAGCCTGCTAAGTAGAGGGCACTTTCCCCGCTGCTGACACTACAGCAAGACACTCTCCCCTCCTGATCACTTCTCACAATGTCCCTTCCATTTCTAATTATATTTCACCTGATTATGTCTATATTATGTGACTGAAGTGATCCTGTGGTATACTACTAAACCAACGATTAATAATAGTGATTAAATAGGATTTTTATATAATTGATTATGTGATTCCTTCTAATATATTTGGCATCATAGGTAAAGCTAAGTAATCATTTCTTATACTGGGGCAGATCGTGCCTGCAGTCTCGCTTTGGCACTGGGGCAACTTTCTTCCCAGGTAATGTGTGGGAGGACCTTCAGGCAGACGTCATCTCTTGTAGTTTATTGTCAACTTAATACTGGAGAGAAACCTTAGAAGTGTAATGAGTGTGGCAAGCGCTTCACTTGAAATTCAGCCCTTGTAATTCCTAAGGCACTTTATTCTGGAGAGAACCTGACAAGTGTAATGAGTGTGGCAACATCAGAGAGCTAATACTGGAGAGAAATCACACACACACGTAATGAGTATAGCAAAGCCTTCAATGTGCAGTCAGCGCTTACCACGATCAGGTGGTCCATGGTATAGGGAAACTATTAATGTGATGACTCTCACATAGTCTTCTGTCAAGGGAGACTAGGCTTCTGTGAAGGGAGATCTTACAAGTGTAATGAATGCGGCAAATTGTTCGGACCTTGTTCATAGCTTGCAGTTGATCAGCATACTCATACTGGAGAGAAACCTTACAAATGGCAGGATTGTAGCAAGGTCTTCAGTCAAGCTTCATCTTATGCAAAACAGAATTCACACAGGAGAGAAACTCCACAAGTGTCATGATTGTGGCAAAGCCTTTACTTCACGTTCCTACCTCCTTAGACATTAGACGAGGGAGAGAAGGGGAAATTGAGAGAGATGTACAGAATGAAGGAGGGAAACAGTAATGAAGAAAGGGTCTGGGCGCAGTGGCTCACACCTGTAATCCCAACAATTTAATAGACTGAGGCAAGGGGATTGGTTGTGTTCA